GCCGCGGGGCGGGAGCGGGGGCGGGGCCTGGCGCGCCAGCGGCCGCGCGCGGGGGTTTGTTTATTTTCTCGGTTGGTTGCGGCGCTGGCGCGTGGGCAGAGGTTCGCCGGTGACGTGAGCGCCTAGAGTTGGGGTAGACGTCCAGAACCACCTGCTGGAAGGGGAGCTACGGGGGCCGGGCAGGGTCCAAACGTCTCACGTAGGCGGCGGCGCCGCAGTCTTTGGAGCTACCGGGAAGAGAAGGGCTTCCCCGGAGCAGCCCTCCCCGGGGCATCTCGAGCTAATAAAACCTTGGGCCATTCTTCCTCAATTCAACGGGATCACCTGCATCGAGGACAACAGAGAGCCCGGGAGTGGGACCAGGTGGCCTGAGTTCCCAGCAACTCTGGGCTCCATTTCCAGTTAGTGAAGTGGTGATGGTCCTGCAAATCAAAATTCGAATAGCAAACTGCATCTGGTCTCTGTAATGAAAAGAACTAACATTCTTTGCAGAGTTACACAGCGCTTTCACGTCGTCTCTTTCGATACTCCATCAGGGAGTATTATCCTAATTTTACAAGCAAGGTTAAGTGACTTGCCCAAAGCCTCACAGCTGATAAATGGCAAAGCCGATCTCAGCTGTGCTTACCATTACATCGCATCATTTCCCTAAATCAGTTTGATTAAGGTGATATTAGACACACACAGGTAAGATGCTGCACGGTTACAGAAGGGAGTTGAAGACGCTATCCTTGCCCTCAAAGAGTAAGGAATAAGACAAAGATAAAAGTTATAATAAACGACAAACCATGATAAGTGCCATGTGAAAAGTACAAAGAGATTACTGTTGTGGATCAAATAACCGCTCACATCTGGCTAGGGGATCACTAAGAAAAGCAGCAGTTAGAACTGACTTTGAAGGAGATGGGGGACAGCTTTACAGGAAGAGGTGATGATGTTTTTAGTTGCCTTCCAGGCGATTCCAACTCATGACTACCGTGTGTGCGTCGGAGAAGAACTGTGCTCCGTAAGGTTTTCAGTGGCTGATTTTCCGGGAGCAGATCGCTTGGCCTGTTTTCCGAGAAGCCCCTGGATAGGTTCAAACTGCCAACCTTTTGGCTAGTAGTTGAGCTGTTAACCATTTGCGCCACATCGGGACTCCTCAAGAGAGGATCAAACTCACTCCTGTGGGGTCTATTCTGACTCATAATGCCCCATAGGACAAGGTAGAACTGTCCCTTAGGGTTTCCAAGGCTATAAATCTTTATGGAAGCAGACTGCCACATCCTTCTGCCGTGGAGCGGCCGGTGGGTTCCAACTGCCAACATTTCAGTTAGCAGCCCAGTGTTTAACCACTGTGCCACCAGGGCTCCTTCAAGAGCAGATAGCATGAGAAAATATATGAAGACAGATTGATAAAAGTTGTATTCAGGAAGGAGCAAATGGCAAGGCTCTAGGCATGTTGAGAAGTGGCAGAGACAAAGGAGAGCAGGGCCTTGGATGCCAACTGAAAGAATTTAAGTTTAATTCCATATTTTGAGTTTTTGTGGTTTAGAAGTTTTTGAGAAGAGAAGCAAGGCTTTGTCTTTGTACTATTGACCTCTCCGTGAAGGAATAAAAAAATTAGAGGTGGGAAAACTGCCAGACAGACTTGCAACAGGCCAGATAAAATGGTGAGTGTAAACTGAAGGCAGGGCAGGAGAAATTAAAAGAACATGGTTGAGAGATGATGTAGAAGCAGAATTTACAGAATTTTGGCAGTTTATTTGTTGGGGAGCAGTAGAGAGAAATCAAAGATAGCTGAGGTTTTGAGTTTGTAGACAATTATAAGAAATAGAAAAGTTAGACAAAAGAGCTCCTTTTTGAGAGACGATCAGTTTAGATTTGGACATTTTGAAGGGTATGAAGGGTTGGCAAGACAGAGGTAGCCACTAAGAATTAGAATGAAATATGAGGAAGAGGACTGAACTAGAAAGTAGTTTGGGAAGTTATCAGCCTAGCAATGATATAACTGTGAGAGAAAAGAAGAAAACAAAGGTCAGAACCTTGGAGAACTTTTTAGTTCCTTGCTACTCAAAGTGTGGTCCACGGACCAGCAACATTGGCAGCACCAGGGAGTTTGTTTGAAAGGCAGACTCTCACGCCTCACCATAGATCTATCAAATCAACATCTTCAATTCAACAAGAACCCCAGGTGATTTGTATCACATTGAAGTTTGAGAAGTTCTGATCTAGATGAGGGAAGCCAGCAAAAAAAAAGAAGGGATGGGAAAGGCGGTAGGAGAACCAGGGTAATGCAGAATTGCCAAAGCAAGGTAAATTAGAATTTTGCAAAGGCAGGGCAGAAGGAGGTGTTGGCCAACAATATCCAAAACCACAGAGGTTGAAAAATGCAAGGACAGAAAGCATGTTTGGATTTTGTGTTTAGGTGGGATGCTCGTTAATGACAATGCTGCTCTAATTGAAAGCTTGGAGACTGCCCCTTTGTGACCAGGGACACCTTAGATCCTTAATCCTCCTAATTCTCAGGTATATCAGACATATTGAGGTAGACTGGTGGATTTGGTGTTGGATGGAAGTGGAAGTTATTTTCTTTTTTCTTTTTTATGCTTTAGGCGAAAGTTTACAGAGCAAATTAGTTTCTCATTAAACAATACACAAATTGTTTTGTGACATTGGTTGCCAGCCCTGTGATTTGTCAACACTCTCCACCTCTCCACTCTGGGTTCCCTGTTTCTGTTTGTCCAGTTTTCCAGTCCATTCCTACCTTCTCATCTTTGCTTTTTAGGGCTGATGTGCCCATTTAGTCTCTTTGGCTGAAGGGTGAACCTCAGGAGTGATTTTAGTACTGAGTTAAAAGGATTTCTAGGGGCCATACTCTCAGGGTTTCTCCAGTCTCTGTCAGACCAGTAAGTCTGGCCTCTTTTTTTGTGGATTTGAATTTTGTTCTACATTTTTCTCCTGCTCTGTCTGGGACCTCTGTTGTGATCCCTATCAGAACAGTTGGTGGTGGTAGCTAGGCACCATCTAGTTGTATTGGACTCAGTCTGTGGAGGCTGTGGTAGTGGTGGTCCATTAGTCCTTTGGACTAATCTTTTCCTTGTGTCATTAGTTTTCTTCATTCTCCCTTGCTCCAGACGGGGTGACACCAGTGGAGTATCTTAGATGGCTGCTCGCAGGCTTTTAAAAAGACCCCAGACACTACTCACCAGTCAGATGTAGAACATTTTCTTTATAAACTATGTTATGCCAGTTGAGCTAAATGTCCCCTGAGACCATGGTCCCCAGCCCTCAGCCTCGTAACTCCAGGGAGTTTGGATGTGTCTGTGAAGCTTCTATGACTTTGGCTTGGTCAGGTTGTACTGCCTTCCCCAGTACTGTGTACTGTCTTACCCTTCACCAAAGTTACCACTTATCTACTATCTAGTTCGGGCTTTTCCCTCTCCACTCCGCCCCTCCCTCATAACAGAATTTATTTTCTAATCGCTTATATTTTCTCACTGAAATAAGCAAGATCATTTTGGCAGACTGATGATTGCCCATCACAATGTATTCTCCCCGTCTCCCTGGACACACAGACTGCTTTTCTCAGCCTCTCTTACAGTTAGATACAATCAAGTAGTAAGTTTTTGGCGATAAAATATGAGCAGAAATGATGTCTGCCGCTTCCAGGCCAGGGCCTTCGCTTTGAAAGAGTATGCATAACTTCTTCATGTGCTTTCTCTCTCTGACAGCTGGACACTGGACATGGTAACTCTGCTTTGATTTTGCAGATGACTACAAGCTTCTGAGAATGGCAGATCCACAAAATAGAAGGTGCCTCGATGAAAGAGAGCTTCCCACTGTCCCAGAACACCCACTCTGGATTATTATGTGAGCAAGATGTAAGTTTCTGTTGAGTTGGAGCCATAACATTTTGGGGTCTGTTTGTTACAGCAGTTTAGCCTACTGTCTTATTATCTAGTGCTGCTCCAACAGAAATACCACAAGTGGATGGCTTTAAAAAAGAGAAATTTATTTTCTCACAGTCTAGTAGGCTACAAGCCCAAATTCAGGGCATCAGCTCCAGGGGAAGGCTTTCTGTCTCTGTTAGCTCTGGAGGAAGGTCCTCGTTGTCATCAATCTTCGCCCGGACAAGGAGCTTCTCCACACAGGGACCCCTAGTCCAAAGGACATGCTCTGCTCCCAGCACTGCTTTCTTGCTTGTATGAGGTGCCCCTGTCTCTCTGCTCGCTTCTCTCTTTTTTATCTCAAGAGATTGCCTTAGAACACAATCCAGTCTTGTAGATTGAGTCCTGCTTTACTAACACAACTGCCACCCATCCTCCCTCATTAACATTATAGAGGAGGGTTTACAACATATAGGAAAATCACACAGTCCTAGGAATCATGGCCCAGCCAAATCGATACACACATTTTTTGGGGGGACATAATTCAATCCATGACACCTACTTTAGCTAATGTAGTCATTAACTGAAAGTGATAATGAGGGAGGAAGAGCGGTGAAATAGTAGTTTATGAGTGTGGGAGAGTGAATTGACTAGGGAAACAGTAAGATTTCCAAGTAGCTACTAAGGCCCTGGAGCCCTGGTGGTGCAGTGGTTAAGAGCTCAGCTGCTAACCAAAAGGTCAGCAGCTCGAATCCACCAGCTGCCTTGGAAACCCTGTGGGGCAGTTCTACTCTGTCCTATAGAGTTGCTATGAATCTGATTCGACGGCAACAGAGTTGGTATTTTGGATTTACTAAGGGCCTGCTTGAGTTAGTTGTCATGAATTTATACATTTGTGCATTTTTCTTCAGCCATATTTATTTGTTCCTGTGCAAGTGCTGAATAGGAAGTTTTGGAT